CTGCTGCTGTTGGTGGTGCTGTTATGGCGGCTGCTGCTGGTGCTGCTCTGAGCTGCTGCTGCTGTGCAGCTCACCAGGTGTCGAGGCCAGGTGTGGCCTCTTTCCTTCTATTGTTCTGCTCCATTCAACAGGTTCCCGACTGACTGAGTGAAAACATCCAGTAAATAGAGAGGGAGTGGTTCTACTGAGGACCGCTGTTAAAAATAGAACGAGGAGCTGCTTTATTTAATCACTGCATAAAGAGGGTGTGAAGTGTGTGAGTCTGAGTGTTGATTGTTTGAGCTGGTGGAGCGTACACTCTGTCCGTCCTCAAATCTATAGAACACGGTTGTTGTTGTTGTTGTTGTTGTTGTTGTTGTTGTTGTTTTTGGCTGTAGAAACGACAGGAAACGCGACCAGACTGAAGAAGCTTCAGGTTAATGTGATGTTGTGGAGATGAGGGTCTCGTTACAGCCAATCAGCTCCTCTATATCTGATTAACAGACATTAACAGAAATTAAATGTAATGACGTCTGACTCCGTGCTGTGTCGTCTTTCTTGTAATAACTCACCGACTTGTATTGAATTACATTGTTTACGAGTGAGATTTCTTTGTTTTTAAGGAGAGCAGAGTCTTTACGGTCTCTGTTTACTGGGACTTCATTAGGGGACTTCGTTAACCGACTGGAGTCTCAGCTCTTACCAGTCCCTTTCTTTGGGTTTCACAGTTTCACAGTTTCACAGTAACAGACCAAACAGTCACATCTTTTAGAATCACCACAGACCAAACAGTCACATATGTTTTAGAATCACCACAGAGATGATCACAGAGGCCTGGAAACATTAACTGTTACTGTAGAACGACACGCTGCTGCAAATGTGTCGGCCGTACAGTCATATGTTAAACGTATGAGTCACCACGGGTCCATTATGGGCCGTCGGATTTGACCAATCAACGGCCTCTTCCAGTGAAGTCGCTGTTGTTTCTGGGAGAACAGATTGAGTTCATTTAAGATTAGTGACGGACGTGAACTCCATCAGAAGATCGAGTCAGAGAACGGACAGCAACAAGTTGTATTTATGGATTTATACGTGATGAAATATTTGAAATACACTTAAGGAATATATGGAGTTTTTCCACTAACACCTTTCCCTGTTCTTCGACATTTGGAAACAGCAGAAATTATCGAGAAAGTAATAACAGCTGGAAGAATCAATAAAGGATGTAAATGTTGGCTCCATTCTCCGGGTCTAAAACTCAATGCAGTTCCCACAGAGATGGAAGTGGAGAAGCTCACACACACACACACACACACACACACACACAGTGAGTCCCAGCAGGACTTCAGAGAAAAGGTCAGCTTCATGTTTAAAGCACAACTCGCTGCTGTCACTCTCCCGTTTTTATTTTTTATTTTTTTCTCCTCTGAGTTCAGTTTCACAGATGAAGAATCCAGTAACTATTCAGATGATGTTTGGAGCTGAAACCACAGTGTGTGTGTGTGTGTGTGTGTGTGTGTGTGTGTGTTGACAAAGGGTGACCAGGGATAATGACTTCAGCGGGGCCGTCCTGGTGAGGACTGGCAGCTGCTCCCACTGGGATCCCCCAGAGCGGGAAGTTTCCCATTGAGAAGGTGCACTTCTAAATAATTAAAGGTTTGAATGAAAAGCATTTTTAAATCTGGCCTCACACTCAATAACCTTATAACAGAAAGATGAGCAGTGGGGCTGTAGTTGACATTCAGTTCCTGCTCCAGTTTTTTTTTAATTAACTACTTTTTATTTGAGAGAAACTTCGGAATAAATACATTCTCCACGTCGTCACAGCCATCTTTAATTTTTTCTTTCCATCTTTTAATATTTTGTTTGTCCTGTGACTTAACAGAAATCTGATTGAATTATTGAATAGTAAATATAAAACTAAAATATTCAGTTGGGTTTTGCGTCATTTAAATAATTGGATGTATAAATATATATAGATATTTATTTCTCTCATGATCTTTTGAGTTTCTGTGAATTGTTTTCAGTCTGGACTGAATGCAGAGTGATGTGACTGAAGCTCCTCACTGAGGTATTGACCTGGTGTTTTTGCTCAGGATTGATTGATTGATTGATTGATTGATTGACATTCAGTTGACTGTGTGTTCTTTTGTCCATGAACACAGTTAGAATCTAAATCTGAGCCTCAGTTTGGTCCAGGTTTAAAATCGTTTCATCCTCTGGCTGAGAAACAGTCAAACAGAAACACACGGATGCAGATAAAGAACCCCGGCTCCTGTGTCCTCATTATTTCCTTTCGCCCTCGTGCAGTAACGATCTCTGGGTCTTGGACTCAGTCTGGGCCTGAGCGTGCCGAGCTCACAGATGCACGGGGGCATCGCACTCTCAGTCTCTGTGCCTATTTATATACGTGTGTTTAAAGAGTGGAGGGCGGAGCGCCAGCGTCTCTGTGACTTCCAGGATTAGTCGCGAGACACCTCGTCGCTCACGTTGGTCGATGAGCCGCAGTCCACGTCACACACCAGCTGACGGCCCGACTCTCGGGCAAACATCGCAGAAATGTCTGTTGGTTCGTTCACCAACTTAAAAACGAGATTTAATCTGTAGAGATTTGGTTATAATTTAATTCTAGGGAAACTTTCTCCCTAAAAGTCGAAGCATCGACATTGGCCTCAGTTCTCATTATTTCTTT